GCTACATACCCTCAAAGATCGAGGAATTTCAGTATATTCTCCTATGTAAATTCATAAAAAAAATCTGAAAAAATACTAATTTAATTATAAAATAAAAAGTAAGATGAAATTATAAAGATTAAAATTATAAAATCTCAATAATACTATAAAACATTAAAATAGAAAAAAAATAATAACTAATAGAAATAAAAAGATTATTATAATAAAAAAATTCAAAAATTTAAGATAAAAAGACAAAAATATACTTAAAGAATTATGAAGATTAAACTATTTAAATATATAATAATATTAGTACAAAGAATATTAGAACATATAAAATAAAAATAAAATGACTAAATAATTTTAAGAGATGAAAGATAAAAAAATAAAAATAATAATATAAATAAATCCAAAGGCTTAACATTTAAAAAAGGAAATAATTAATAAATAATAGAAATAAAAAGATTATTATAATAAAAAAATTCAAAAATTTAAGATAAAAAGACAAAAATATACTTAAAGAATTATGAAGATTAAACTATTTAAATATATAATAATATTAGTACAAAGAATATTAGAACATATAAAATAAAATTAAATAATAAATAATTTAAAAAAATAAAAAAAAATATCATAAATATTATTTAAATAAATTATTAAAAATATAAAAATATAAAATAAAATTATAATTGCAACTGTACGGGTACCCTCTTAAATAATAAGGGTACCGTAGAATTTCTCAAAAATATATTATATAATGACAAACAATTAAAAAATATTAACACGTGTAGAAGAAATTCTGTCGAATTTATCCCTAACATGTGATAACAAATTAATCAATGAAATAACTCGAGTAAGTTAACCAAAATAAATTAAAATAATATAATATCTTAATATTTAAATTTTAACATATAATTAACTAATTATACTAATTTTGTGAATGACCAACTACGATAAAATATAATTACCCAATTAATTGGTATCCTATTAAGGATACAATTGTCCGATACTTTTTTTTATTTTCTTATTCAACTCTAATTTTTCATGTAATGGCTTGGTAGGTTATTACTATAACTAGACAATGCAAATAAATAAGTAAATCAATTACACTAGGATGATTATGCAACCGTACCTAAACATTCATACAATAAATATATATATATAAGATGCAAAAAAATATAATACAATTTTTGTCAATATGACTTGAAAACATTAAAAGTTTTTTTTATAGTACATATATACAATATATATCCAATATAAATATTAAAAATATAACTCTAATGTCGATCAAGCTTCTACTTCATACAAGCTACACCAGAGCAACCTCCAACAATAAAGAAAATGCAAGGTTAAACTCGTAATCAAAAGAATGGAATAGTATAGAAGCAATAAAGTAGCTATATATACAAACAACTTAATAAACACCACACAACATCAACCCAAGACCCAATTTAACAACACAAAACAATATATCGACTCAACTTATCTACTTAACACATGTCATCATCATATCATCTTGCATCAACACTACTAGACAACTTACTAGCTTGCCAAGTTAATTAATAATTATTCAACACATCAACACAATATAAGAACATCACATCAACTTACAACTCAATACAACTTAACAACATATCAACTTAAACAACATTACAACATATATAGTAACATAACAATTTAATGCATCATAATGTATTTTAACTAAGAGATCTCTAACAATATAGGTGAGTGATTTAAGTGATTTGATCCTACTAAATCAACTTAGCAATGCGATCTTTTTAGGCCTACTAGATCAACAACAAATTTGGATATCAATCTATAACATAACATGATTTCCCAGATTTTCTCACCTAGACTAGGAAAGTCCAATATTCCTATTAAGAGTAGAACAACAATCTTAACATGCATAACTAAGCTTATATGGAATTAGCCTACTAACTACCTTTCAAATACTATGCACCGTTCCAATACTAAGTTAGGAATTTTGTCCTTCATCCTTGTACCTTACTTCATTGGTCGCTTCTAAACTAGTATGGTTCAACCTAGTCCCCATAAGGTATAAATTAAGAACCTAGAAGAGACTTAACACTCCACTTCAAGAAACAACGCTCAAGAAGGGTTTTTAACAAGTTGTCTCTTAGAGTACCATAACATATATCCATGCAATGGAATAATTCAACTTTTAAATACAACACTTTACCTCTTGTCCTAAGTCTACAATTCAATATAACTACATACTTTAAGCATTCACAACATAGCTTCACACAACAACATGCCATTTGCATAACTTAGCACAATACTACTCAACAACATGTAATCCATACATTCATAACACAACATACAACAATATACAACTTATATACATTCAACACATTCGTGTTTGATGAGATATGCTCACACTTAGTGTCCACGATTGGCGTTGCATTCCCATGCTCAATGTCAATAAAGTAGAGAGCTTCTAACTCTTCCATGCCCAACACCAATCCATTTTTGCCTAATGAAAATGAGACAAACAATCTTTATGTAAATCATGCCTAGTGTTATCGAACTTGCGTTCAACGTCATTTAGGCAAAGAACCACTACTTGACCCACGTCTGATACTATGAAACCCACACCTTGTGTTGTCTAGGCAGAGAGAGTCATTTACTTGATCACATCCGATGCTACACAATTTGCACCTAGTGTCACCAAGTCAGAAAGCTCACAAGGTAATCACACTTGGTGCTACACAATCTCACACCCTACATAACCAAGTCAAAAAGCTCCTAACTGACTCACGCCCAATGCTATCTATCTCACACCTAGCGCCAATAAGGTAGAGAATCTCTAACTCGCATCACACTTGACGCCATGAAATTGTGCCTAGTGCGAAGATGATTTTTGCACTTTGCAAAATAGCGATTTGGATCTAAACACTTGAAAATCAACCCTAAACCAGCATGCAACACACAAAGCGACATATGTACACTACAAGTAAGTCAAATGCAACAAAAGTTCCCACATGCAACCAATAAATTTAATAATTCATCAATTCTTCTCCAAACCACCAAAAAACCAAATACAAGATACTTCCCTTCTCAAATCAACAACATATTCATAAAAGATTAATTCAAGCTACAAGCTACAATGAACATATATAACACAACAATAATCAAATATACAAGTTTTTCCTTATCTCAAATCTTCTAAAGGAGAAGAAGAAAAAGAAGAAGGACCTAAATTCTCTATGAGGTCAACAAAAGAAAATAAATCTTAATAGCTCCAAAGCTCATCTCTTTAACTTTCCTCTTAATTTCTTTAAAAAATGAATTTATGAAGTTCAAATCTTATATAATTTTCTTAAACTTGGACAAGTTTGACTTCAATCCTAGACAAGTCGTAAACAATTAAACTCAAGAATTTTTTTAATCCTTATAATTTTAAAATAAATGAACAACAATTCACATAATCATTTCATTTATAAAATTAATTAAAAAATCATAAAATTCACAATGTTACAAATCACGTCAATAATATATAACAAATTAACTATGAAACATATGATTTCCTTAAAAAAAACAATGAAACATTTTACATCAATATTATAATAATAATAATAATAATAACAATAATAATAATGTTATAAACCATATATTGTTAATAATAATATATTTACATGGACGTTGATCAATATAAAAATTCATATATCATAAATAAAGGGGAAAAAATCCATGCATGAACACTAATAATATATTAGGTTACATTCAACCCATATTTTAGGTCATATATGGTTGTTCCTAAAACCTAAATTAGACCACTTAATTAAATTGGGCTAAAAAAAACTCAGTTCATTCATCTAATCCATACAATTCAATAAAAAAAATTCTCACAAAATCTACACCTACATAAAAGATCTTGTGCATTGAAAAAATATAAAGACTAGTATATAATATGTAGAGAGAAATATTACTTCTATAATTAAATCATACAATTAATAAGTTATACACAAAGGAATGTGAAAGTGAAATAAGATATGATGCAATCGAGTTAATATATATATATATATATATATATATA